GACATTCTCTTTTTCGAGTAGGTAGATTAGTTCTTAAGTACTTGCTCAAACAAACAAACTTTTTCCGCACTTACACTCTTTTCAAACAAAATTTTCAAAACAACTTCGTAACACTCTTGAAGACAGAAGCAAGGGTTAAATCGAAGTAAAAAACTTTTTCAAATCAAACACACACAAGCAATTTTGAAAATGATGAGCAAGTACCTAAGAGCCCGTGGAAAACCACGCATAGAAAGGGTGCTAATACCTTCCCTTTCTATAATCTACCCCCCGTACTCAAAATCTCAAAAAAGGAATTTTTCTGTGCTCTTTTCCTTTCCAGTTGGATAAAATAAAAGTCGGTGGTGACTCTTGCTTACCGTGACATTTTGCAAACACAAACGCAAAACGCAAACCAGCATTTCAAAACAGTCAGGTTCTGGCCACCGTATCACAGAACTGATGACTCTGCTGGGGACTATATAAGTGGGGTATACCTTAGGATTAGTTATCATATTTGCTTCTATTTTTTGATTTGATTGCTTTATCTTTGAGGGCTTTGTATCGGGAGTTACTATAGATCCTAACCCGAATTTGGGGAACACCTTTTAGGTAAGTAGCAATAGACTGTGAGGGAACTGTACGGCGTAGACCGATACGGTTGAAGCAGTAGCTACGTTGATGTGGCACATTGGTTGGTACTGGTATCCCTTGTGGAGAAACGAGGAGAATACAGGGCTGCTGTATGGGTCGTTAAGCATCAACTGACCTTAGAACCTATAATTGACCAACTTATCCATAGGAAGTAGTGAGATAGCCGGTCTCGGTGTAAAGCTGGGAACTGATTGATACTCGATGCTACACTCATTGAGACCATACTCTCGAGATAGTTCCGGCCGCAAGAAAAGATTGCGTGAGCTAAAACCATGACCGATGGAGGATGGTCAGTGATATTGAGAACCTCTAGAACCCGATTACTATTATTAGGACAGGTTGAAACCAACTGAACTTCAAGAGGGTAATACCTAGACTCCATGTAAGCCTTAAGCTCAAGGGTTATTGTGTGACTTATTTGCCTTTACCATGTGGTCTTTCTGCTATACCTGTTGTGTGTTTTATCATGACATCATGCATCATAACATAGCATGCATATTTCATTAGACTAACCATTTCAAAGACCGAGGGGATTTATCTTTGTTCTGTTTTGCAGATCATGACTTCCATACGCAGACATATCATCCGAGTTAACTTTGTGCAAATACCTTCTCAACTCAAAGATTTGGCCTCGAGAGTTTCTGATACTTCCTCATTCATTAGAAGACATGGTCATCTTCTTAGTTTGGTTACCTCCAGGTTTGATGAGCAAATGATGAGTGTGCTATTCCAGTTCTTCGATCCAGTGCATCATTGTTTCACCTTCCCGGATTATCAGCTAGTTCCCGCTTTGGAAGAGTTTTCTCATTTGTTGGGTATATCCATCCTCGAGCAGATGAATTTCACAGGTTTAGAAGAGACTCCTAGGCCAGAGGACATTGCTTCAGCTCTACATTTGAAAAAGGCTGATGTAGTATCCAACTGGGAGACACGAAGCGGGGTTAAAGGTTTCTTAGCCAAGTTTCTAATGGATCAAGCTCAACTATTATGGGAAAGTTTGGACTTTCAGGCTTTTGAAGACATCTTAGCTCTCCTCATTTACGGTTTGGTTCTTTTCCTGAATCCAGATTCCTTCATAGATGTAAATGCAGTTAAGATCTTCTTGTCTCGCAATCCTGTGCCTACCTTCCTAGGTGATATTTTGCATGCTCTCTATACTCGTACGACGTGTAGGAGAGGGACCCTCATTTGTTGTATGCCGCTGTTGGAGAGGTGGTTTATTTCGCACCTCCCCAAGTCCGTGCTGAAAAATGAAGAAGGTTTAGGATGGTCCTACAGGATAATGTCCCTTGCCCATATGGATATTCTCTGGAGTTCTAAGGATATAGAGGGTGTTGCTATCATTGATCGATGTGGGGAATACCCTAATGTTCAGTTGCTTGGAATTAGAGGGGGAATAACCTACAATCCTTGTTTGGCTTTACGACAGTTTGGTCGCGCTCGGAGGGACGGTCCTCATGAGCTTCTTCTTACGGACATTGTCTTTGACTATAAGGAGGACGTCGAAAAGCATCGCTGAAGGTTTATACGAGCCTGGGGCATGGTGAACAAGTCTGACCCTCACGAGCTAGGACCGAAGACTTCTCTCCCTATGCAACCTTATCTCCAGTGGGTTCGAGCCCGCACTCAGAAGCTTGGGATGCCTTATGAAGTTGTGTTACCAGTGATTGTGGAGCATACTAATGAAGAAGGGGTTCCTTACACAGTCCTTTATCCCTACACGCCTATTGATCTGGGGGCATTAAAGAGATCCTGGATTCAGCTGAAGGAAGAAAGGGATACTTACAGGGAGAAGTATCATGAGCAAGAGAGGAAGATCTTGAAGCTCACGAGGCAACTTGAGAATGAGAGGACGATCAATGACTATTTCAGCACGAAGGGAAAGCAGCCATGGAACTTCTGATTTTGTTGTTTTTATAGTTTAGATTTTCTTTCAGTCTATCTCTTTTGTAACGCCTTAAGGGCATTGTGTAGCGGTGAAAATCGGAGATCAAGCTATTAATTAACTTGACTCGCAAAAGCAAGAGTCGCCACCGCGCTTTATTATTTCCAAGGCAAAAGGGAAAAGAGAGAAATAAAACCCTAAAATATGCAATGTAAAACAATACTTAAAAGTAATAAAAATACAATGCGTTTTTGAAAAGAGATCGAGAGTTCGGGGGTTGGTTATACAATGGGAAGGTACTAGCACCCAATGCATCTGCGGTACTCCGCAGGAACCTTTTGAAATATCTGTTTTTGGTTAAAATTGTTTGTTTGATTAAAATGGTTCGTTTGGCTAAAAGATGGGTATGGACGAGATTTTTGAAGATACGCCGACCTAGTGTCGAAGTTTTGACTTAAAAGAGGTGAGTTTGAAAATGGAGTCTTTTGGGAGAATTATCTTAAGTTTGGAAAAATAGTAAATAAGCAAAAAAATGGATGAGGGTATTCGCACGATTGTAACAAATATATTTGATGACATGAAGTCAACAAAGTTAAAAACATTTCCCTTGGAATAAATCGAGTGAGCAAAATAAAATAGACATCAAAATATAAGCAATCAAAATTCACAAGAAAATAAATATAACGAAACAAATTAATGACCTAAAGCATCGAGAAATTAAAATGACAAAGATATTTAAATAGAATAAAAGAGAATGTAACTAATTATCTAAAGAAGTTATTTAAACTAAATTAAAAAATTTTAAAATTAGTAAATTAAATCTAAACTAAATAAAAATTCCAAGGTTGCTAATCTAAAACAAAAAAAAGTTCCAAAGTTACTAAACTAAATCTAAATCAAATAAAATTCTAAAAGAATATTAAACTAATTCTAAACAACTAAAATTCTAAACTTATTAAACTAATTCTAAATCAAATAAAAATTATAAATTCATTAAACTAATTCTAAATCAAATAAAGTTCTAAAGTCCCTAAACTAAAACTAACAACTAAAATTCTAAAGTTAACTTAAATAAAATCAAATAAAATTCTAAAGTTTACTAAATTAAAACTAAAACAAATAAAATTCTAAAATTTACTAAGTCAAATCTAAATAAAATAAAATCCTAAAGTTACTAAAATAAAACTAAACAAAATAAAATTCTAAAGTTTACCAAGTCAAAACTAAAACAAATAAAATTCTAAAATTTACTAAGTCAAATCTAAATGAAATAAAATCCTACAGTTACTAAAATAAAACTAAACAAAAATAGAATTCTAAAGTTTACTAAGTCAAAACTAAAACAAATAAAATTCTAAAATAAAACTAAAACAAAATAGAAATTCTAAAGTTTACTAAGTCAAAACTAAAACAAATAAAATTCTAAAATAAAACTAAAACAAAATAGAAATTCTAAAGTTTACTAAGTCAAAACTAAAACAAATATAATTCTAAAATTTACTAAATCAAATCTAAATGAAATAAAATTCTAAAGTTACTAAAATAAAATTAAAACAAATAAAATTCTAAAGTTATAAAAATAATTCTAAAATTACTACACTAGATCTAAACTAAAATTAAAAATTTGATATTAGCAAATTAAATCTAAGCTAAATTAAATTCTAAGGTTACTAAATTTAATCTAAAACAAATAAAAATTCCAAAATTCACTATATTAAAACAGAAATTCTAAAGTTATTAGGTTAAATCTAAATTAAATTAAAATTCTAAAATTTACTAACTAAACTAAAATTAAAATTACTACAATAATTCTAGATTTAAAATAATTAGTTCTAATTAAAAAGGAAAGTTTTTTTGTAATTTTATATGATTATACTAATATTTATATATATATATATATATATATATATATATATATATATATATATATATATATATATATATATATATATATATATATATATATATATATATATATATATATATATATATATATATATATATATATATATATATATATATATATATATATATATATATATATTTTTTTTTTTTTTGGGTGTCAAAAGTTAGTTCACATACAACTTTATTTACCAAACAACATCATTAAGTTTGAACAGGTAAACAAAGCATTAAACGGAACAGCACTAGAAACCAACCTTTTCTCCAACATTGTTTTCAATATCTTCATCCCATCTTCCATCTTACCAGCCTTGCAGAAATAATCAATCAACACAGTATAAATATAAACATTAGGCACACAACCTCTTTCCACCATTTGCATTCTTCTTTTTCCTATAGGCTGTGACATCATTTGCTAAATCCCGCCCCGAGGAAGATTTATCATCTTGAGTAATCTCTTTCCACTTTCCGAAATCCATACCCTTTGTTTTCTTCCTTTGTATTGGATTAGCAAAAGCAGCAACTTTCTCAAACCGGACATTTCTAATGTTTTTGCAAATTTACAATTTATACAGTACAATTAAGCAACAGGCACTTTGCAGCAAACATCAAAAACATCATCTAAAGGGGCATGATCACCTGTTCCTTCGTCTTTCCTTGCATATAACAGCTCTTTCCCTCTAAACACAAACATCCCTCCCTGTTGCAAAACACCACTTCTATCATCTGGAGTGGCTTCTATTGTATAGTTTTTGGTCACTTTTCGCAAAGCATCAAATCTCAACAGCACCTTTGCACTGGCTGGATTGAAGAAAGTACGGCCAAACCCGTAGTAGAGGTCTAGAAAATCATAAGCCTTACGGTCAGGATCTGCATAAAGGCAATCCATTGGAAATGGTAATCGTTGGGCAAGGAGGCGGGCTTTATTGGGGGCACCGACACCCACTGCAATTAACTTCACACCAGCCGAATCGAACCTTGATTTGGATTCTTTCAAAGTTGAAGCCAATTCCCAGCAGCATGGACATCCAAAGTGCCTCAAAAGTGCCACCACAGCTATTCCCTGTTCCTGGTCCCAGAGATCTTTGAACATGAGAGGCACACCGGCTGCCAAGAAAATGGTAATGTCGCCGAGATTTTCTGTAACAGTGGGACTGTACTGCGAATTGGAAGCTTTTGGAGAAGGCATTGGTTTGTTGCGGGTGAAAAGATGAGACCGTGGAGTCAAAGAGTATGTAGGTTTTGTGTTTATGCAGTGGATTCCGAAAAGGTGTGTTTTGTTGAGGGTGATGGAACATTGCTGTTGGGTTGTTGCAGATTGTGAAGATGGACAGTGGGTTATGGTGCGGATAGTTGTTGTTGTATGAGTGGAGTTGAGGAAAATGGTGGTGAGGTTTGTAAAAGGTTTTCTTTTTATGTGTTAGTGGAGAGAGTTTTTGTGTTTTTAGTTATGAGAGATGTTGGTTCCCTATGAGGAAGAATAGGTGCAGAGACTATGTACTGCATAATGGGATGGTGATGGGTGTATGTAGGCGGGAGTTTTTTTTGATTGTGGGGGGGAAAGATTGTGTAGATTGAAAAAAAATAGGAGGGAAATATTTTTGTGACTAAAAGCCCTTTAATGACAAAAAATAAAAATGAAACTTAAAAGTATATAAAAAAACTCAATTTAAAATGATTTTTTTTGAATATTTTATGAATAAAAAATAAAGACACAAAATGACCGAAAACGATAAAAATCGGACGAAAATTTGTCCGAAAAAATAAAATGAACATATTAAAATAATCTACATGTCACACAGATTAAAGAAAAAATATTCAAGAAATCAAAAATAAAATAATAATAAAAATATCAGACTAAACAGACGTTTAAGGTTAAAACGAGACTTCGAACTATACCAAAAAATAAAGCGAGCATACCGTCATAATCTACGCGAAGCGCAAATTCATAAAACGATCGGTAAAAGGTGAAAACTTGAAATATTTTCTCGCTACTTTCCCGCATAGTGTCGAATCGCTTTTAACAGTCTGTCTATAAAACCAAAATATTTTTATTATCGACATGTAAACAACTTGAAGCAATGCAACAAATGAGTAAATAGATAAAAATGCATGAAGCAAAATGCCGGGTATTTTACAACTGAAAGACGATGCAAACTTCGATTTAAACTGACTTTTCTGATCAACTTAAATATGACTAATGATGCAAAATGTGATGAATGAAGGTATTTACTAATGATTGTGACCAACTGACAAAATATGGTATGAATGTGCGACTGAAAAAATTAGGGGCGAAATTAAGGGTGCAACGGTGTGCCTTGATGACTCAATCTTCGAGAATCCACAATCAACCGTACTTCTGGCTTGAGAGATTCTGAACCCTAATCGAGGCATGACGCCTGATGCTCTTGATTCAGATCTGTTTCCTGCAAATGAAATCAAAGAAACAAAAAACACACACTTCGTGCTTGATTAGAAGTTAGTGATACATAGGCTAAGAATGTTCAAAATATTTGATAATTTTTGCGTAGTCAATGCTCGAAGGTGAGACGTTAAAACCGACCGTATTTCGTGACCTTGACTTATCTTAAAAAATGCAAAAATAAAAATGGGATCTTAGGTCAAAAATTGGGGTACAACAGCTGCCCCTATTTAAGTTTCTTCTATCTGGAGATATGAAGATTGGGATCTTCATTTCGACGAGATTGAAGGGACTTAAATATAGAATACACAATTTTTGGCCTTAAGATACCGCGATTACGTTCATGATATGATATGAATGTAATGCTCTGAATTTTATGGGGAATGACGCCATATGAGACAGACTATGCTGGAGAAACCAAGCACATTATACAGTAATCCCACGGAGGAAGAAGTTGTAACTCCACTGGGGAAACAGACTATAACACCACTGGGGAAACAAAGTCATAGACTTCAAATGAGAGACTCTTGAATGATTTACATCAGTATTGAGACTGGAAAAGGTAATGATTTACATCAGTACTGTAACTGGAAAAGCATATGATTGACATCAGTACTGTGACTGGAAAACAAAATGATTGACATCAGCATTGTGGCTGGAAAACAAAATGATTGACATCAGCACTGTGGCTGGAAAACAAAATGGTTGACATCAGCACTGTGGCTGGAAAACAAAATGATTGACATCAGCACTGTGGCTGGAGATAAACATCTCTGATTTCTGAATTTTACCAAGAACGGTAACACATTTCTTCTTTAACCAAGATATCGCTTGAAAAGGATAAAATAACAAACTTCCCCACGGGACTTTTCCGAAGGGATGCCATTTGCTGAGTAAGCATTATTGTTGGGGATACACAAGCTCCTCAAATAAAGAGGCCGTCACTTGCTTCCTTTCAAAGGTGTCAATAATATACAAGCTGCTCATGAAGAGACCGCCGCTTGCTGTCTTCAAAGAATATTAAAGCACACAAGCTGCTCATGAAGAGTCCGCCACTTGTTGCCAAAAACCCACAAGCTGCTCATAAAGAAGCTGCCACTAGCTTTCTTCAAAGAATATTAAAGCACACAAGCTGCTCATGAAGAGTCCGCCACTTGTTACCAAAAACCCACAAGCTGCTCATAAAGAAGCTGCCACTTGCCGTTTTCAAGGGAACAATAACACACAAGTTGCTCAAATAGATAAGCTGCCACTTGCTGTCTTCCAAAAATACTAACGTACAGGCTGCTCATGAAGAAGCTGCCACTTGCCATTTTCAAAAGAAAAAATAACGTACAAGCTACCCATGAAAGGACTGCCACTTGCCGTTTTCAAAAGAAAAAAATAACGTACAAGCTACCCATGAAAGGACTGCCACTTGTCGTTTTTCGAGAGAACAATAACACACAAGTTGCTCACGAAGAGGCTGCCGCTTGTTGTTTTCAAAGGTGATAATAACATACAAGTTGCTCATGAAGAGACCGCCGCTTGTTATTTTCAAAGGTGATAATAACATACAAGTTGCTCATGAAGAGACCGCCGCTTGTTGTTTTTTCAAATGTAGCAATAACAATACAAGTTGCTCATGAAGAGACCGCCGCTTGCTGTTTTCAAAGGTAATAATAACATACAAGTTGCTCATGAAGAGACCGCCGCTTGTTGTTTTTTCAAATGTAGCAATAACAATACAAGTTGCTCATGAAGAGACCGTCGCTTGCTGTTTTCAAAGGTGATAATAACATACAAGTTGCTCATGAAGAGACCGCCGCTTGTTGTTTTTTCAAATGTAGCAATAACAATACAAGTTGCTCATGAAGAGACCGTCGTTTGATGTTTTCAAAGGTGTCAATAACATACAAGTTGCTCATGAAGAGACCGCCGCTTGATGTTTGTCAAGAGTATCCATAACACACAAGTTGCCTCATGAAGAGACTGCCGCTTGCTGTTTCCCAAAAAGATACCCCTAAAATATCGTGAAGATATTGCTGGAGGTGAGAACCAATAATTTCATCGGGGATGGACAAACTGCTCATGAAGAGACCGCCATTTGTCGTAGAGAAATCAGAAATAATCAAACTGCTCAAATAAAGAGTCAGTCGCTTGTTGTCATGTCGATATTCCAGAAGAAGGTTGTGATAACACGGCTGGGGAATAAAGTTCATCTTCAATGGGGAACCATGAATAAATCCTTCCTGAGGAGACCAAGTATTTACGTTGCAAAATAAATGCAACCTCCATCTAGGTTTCACAGCCTAGAGAGATCCACAGGGTATCATTCACAAGAGACAAAGCTCAATCCAGGAATAAACTGGAGAGAAAAATAGTCAAACAAGACTCCACCCAATGAGGAAACAACTCAAATGGGGGTTTATCCTATCCAGAGATGGAAAAGGAAAGCTAAATCAAGATTCTTCCACGAGAGTTAACTCAGTGGGGAATTAGAAAAGAGGCACACTTTCTGCTTAAGTTGACACTCTATTTGGAAAGATCAAATACACTATTTGAATAGACATAACCAAGGTATACGAACTTCAATGACATCAACAAATACAACTGTGCGTGCATGATGCAAGTGTGAAGGAGTAAATGAATGTCATATATATGTTGACAAGACAGACAGGGGAGATAGACAGAAGATGATAAGACGTCCCAGTACAACTCGACACTCGGCTAATCTTAACAGGATGGTAAAATTACTGGAGATAGAAAACAACAGCCATCATTGGAGAAAAATCCTTTTACAAGGCTTAAATATCTCGGGAGAGGAAGATATTTTCAGGTAGAAAACCCCGAAGTCCAGTCTTCTATTGTCGACAATCCATTGAAAGGATAACAACACAAACAATGTTTCAGCTGGAAAAAAGTCATGCTTAGCTGGAGATACTGGGAACACCACCCTCTGATAATGTGTTCAATACATATCACATATTTTGACAAATCTGGATTGCCCCTGGGACTAATTTTGGATGCCCCAAGTTTACTGTTGATAAGCTGCATGTTGCATGACCATTCTTGCGAATAACTTCACTTCTAGAATGCCCCAAGCTATCTGGTTGATGAGGAGAAATCGTCTCAAGAGGATTTTACAAAAGACTTGGCATTCACCATGCTCTGGTGTCTTCAAACTCAGAGAGATTCATCCAATCTCGACGTGATTGCCCTGGATTGACTGTAGTTGTCACAACAAAGTCTTCAAATTTTGCCCCAAAAGAGTAAACAAGTTGGGAAAGCATTAATTAGGAGAAGCAACATGTTTGTGCTTAAGGTCTTCATGTGACATGCCCCTGGATATGATTTTTCCTTGAAATGATTCTCCAATTACTCAACACAGTTTCAGGCCTTAAAATAATAAACTCATCACTGGTGCTTATGTGAGCTTCCTTGATATCAAACAAATGTTTTGCAGTTAGAAAAAGTTCACAATGAGAATGAAAATTCTAATGCAACAGTTATGTAAGTCTTGAAGATTTTGAAAAGATATCGCACAAATTTTGCGAGTTAGAGCACCATTTATTTTTGTGTAGGAAAAACCTATGATACCAACATAGCTATTTAGAACATTCATGGGAGTCAGGAACACTATCTCATTGAAGTATGCTTTCAAAATAACCTTGCTTCAATTAGGACTTTTGAAGGTTGTAACGTGGTCTGGTTCAAGGTTTTAGAAAAAAAAGATTTAAGGCTCAAAATATTTGGTGCCCACCCATTCTTCATGATGTTCTCCAACC